CATCATCTTCGCGTGGGTCCCTTCGCATTGCTCAATTTTGGGCAATGAGAAGGCGGATTCACTTGCGAAGGTGGGCGCTATGGAAGGCGACATTTATGATCGACAGATCGCCTATAGTGAATTTTTCTCTATTTATCGTCAGCAGTCGCTCGTTAGCTGGCAACATCAATGGAGTGAAGGGAGCTTGGGACGATGGCTACATTCAATTATCCCTAAGGTGTCGAAGTTTGCATGGTTCAAAGGGTTGGACTTGAGTCGAGACTTCATACGCGTGATGTCTCGTCTCATGTCCAATCACTATTGTCTAAACGCTCACTTGTTCCGTGTGGGGTTGGGAGACAGCAATCTCTGTGAATGTGGACAAGGTTACCAGGACGCTGATCACATCCTTTGGTCTTGTGCGGAGTATCGTGGAGTCAGATCACATTTTTATGATTCCCTTCGGGCTCGAGGTAGACAACCTAATGTTCCAGTTCGGGATATTTTGGCTAGACGCGATCTGGAGTTTATGAAACTCATATATGTTTACTATAAGGATATTAACCTTAGATTGTAAGTTTGATTAACCTTGTGTTTAGTTTGTATTTTGTACGTGTGGGTTCAAGATGAATAGAAATAATTTCATGCTTTAGGATTATTTAAATAGTTGTATCGTAAACCACATTTCAAACCTCCTTCTTCCCTTTTCCCATCCAAAAAATTGTAAATCTCCACTAACCTCGAGACAACCGCGAGTACTCGGTCCAGTTCCTTTAACTTTAAATTTAAGACAGTAATAATGTATAACGCAAATGATAACTCGGCTCTGTAAAGTTTATTCGATTGAGCCTGTACAAATAAAGTAATTATAAAAAAAAAGGTCTTTGTTCTTCACATTTATTTGGCAAGCGACGATTTCGACGCCTGATAGAGCAGGAAGAGAAATCTTGTAGAAAGGATAGCACTTTTTGATCCCTAAAAGTACTCCTCCATAACAATCGTTTCTATCCAGGCGTATAATGTTAAAATCGTGGAAGTTGAGTTCTTTATCGGAAGAAAGCCATGTTTCACAGAGAGCAAATATATCACAATCAGAATTCTGAAGTAAAAATTTGAACGAGTCTAGTTTCGGCACTAGGCTACGGCAGTTCCACTGTAGCACAGTGATCATATCTTCAACCTCGTTCGACGAATTATCCATCGAAAGATATGATTGATGCAAGGAGGGCCATGAAACAGTCAATTGCTTAAGATATGATTCTAGTGTTGGAAGCAAGGCAGAAACTAAGCTTCTAAGAGGGTCTTGTATGTTGAACATATTTAATATGAATTCCACAATGTCCGAAAAAGCTAGCAAACCTCGTTTGGACTTGGATTTCTTTTGAGAAGTTTTGTGGATCCGTTTGTTTTCAAAGGTGCGTGTACCACCGTAGTCACCCTCATCGGATGAGTCAGAGTCCGATTCTTCAGCTGACAAAATCGAAAATTAGTTTTCATCTTGGACGGCTGATGCAGCCTTCACCATTTGTGCATATGACTGCTTGGAGCGTCCAGAGATTGAACGCTGCACTTTATCGGAGTGCTGTTTGTACATCGGGCACTCCTGCAAAGGGTGAGGATTCTCGCCACAGTAAGCGCATTTTACTGATTCTTTGTGGCAAGAATCCTCTTTGTGGTTTTCACCACATTTGCCACAACGAGTTTTGTTGCCGCAATGACTAGCCGAGTGTCCCAGCCTTTTGCAGTTGGTACAATTAAAGGGTGTCCACGATGAAATTGCCACACACAAAATTGATTCGCAAAATTCGAGTTTTCATCCGATTGCCATCAAATTTTCAGGGATTGAGAAATAACTATTAAACTTCATTTTATCATTTTTCTCGTATTTTATTTACAGTCCATACGCAAATGCCCGCACCTTGGCCTTAACCCTGGCCATAAGATTCTGCACAACCTGTGAATCAACCGTTTTTTGCATGTAAACCCATACTTTCTTCAGTTCCTCGACTGTCTTCACTACCTTAGGTCGTTTAAGAAGGTGCTTCTTCATAATCGCCCAGTACTTCTCGATGGGGCGGAGCTCCGGAGTGTTGGGAGGGTTGAACATTTTCGGCACGAAATTGACCTTATTGTCCGCATACCACTTCAGCACGTCCTTGGAGTAGTGGCATGAGGCCAAATCCGGCCAGAAGATTGTTGGGACGTTGTGGGCCTTCAGGAGAGGAAGCAGCCGCTTCTGAAGGCACTCTTTTATGTTCACCTGTCCGTTCATCGTGTCCTGGATCACGAAAGGTGCACTCCACTTCCCGCACGTGCAGATGGCTTGCCAAACCAGGAATTTCTTCGCAAATTTGGACATCTTCTGAGTGCGGACATGCTCCGGAACGCTGAACTTATCCTTGGCCGTGAAAAACAGGTTGCCGGGGATCTGTTTGAAGTCGGCCTTCACATATGTTTCGTCGTCCATGATGCAGCATTCAACTTTCGTCAGCATGTTGAGGTACAACTTCCTGGCACGGGTTTTGGCGGACTTGTTCTGCTTCTCGTCGCGATTAGGGGCCTTTTGTACCTTGAACGTTCAAAGCCCAGCCTTAGTTTTGGCCTTCTGGACAAAACTTCGGCTTAGGTGCAGCTTCTTAGCCACATCCCTAACGGAGGCGTTCGGATTTCGGTTGAAGGCCCCAACTACGCGGTTGTGATTTTTGGTGTTGTACGGAATACTTTTTCCTTCACTTCTGGGCTTCCGATCGGTGGTCAACCGTTCCTCGAACCGCTTAATCACTCGCGACACCGTGGAATTCGCGATTCCCAACGTTTTAGCGATGGAACGATGCGAGAGATCCTTGTTCTCGTGATGAATGCGCAAGATTTTATCACGCACGAGCTGTTCTTTCGACTCCATTTCCGCGAGTTTTGATCACAGGACTTTAAAACTTGCAGGATGTAAATAATGCACTATGAACTAAATCCACCCAAATTTTCATTAAATTCTACCCAACGGTTAAAAAGTTAGAGCAATTTCATAGTGTGGCAATTTCATCGTGGACACCCTTTATATACCCTCTGTACAAACAACCGCACCGGAAAAAAAGCACCATAAACTTTAACAAAGTTTGGGAGAAGTGAACCAGCGAAAGTCACCCGAAACGAGTCTGAATGCTGATAAACTTTCTTGCCATCTTGCAAAGATACTGAATGCAGTTGCCTGACATCCAGTATCTGTACCTGCTCTCCGATTTTCGAGTTTTTGAAGCAACCCGATGCTCGTTTTAAGTCCTCGACACTCAGACTCGCGTCGGACCACACCTTCTATCTCCACATCTCGAGAAGGGATGTAGATGTTGTACTCAACACTAAACAGCTCGTGTTCAGCAATTTTATTTGCCACATCATAAGTCGGTGCTTCTACACGCAGTTTATTGAATCTCTCCTTATACACCAAGATTCCCGGATATTTACGCAGCAAATCTCTCGAAATGTCGAGTGTTTTCAAAGGATTATTTTTAGGCCGAAAAAAGACAACCCATGGTCCTTTCGAAGACGGCTGGTAGTACCTGGTTCGCGCAACGTATACATCCGAAGACGCCATAAGTGTTGCGCAAAAGCGGTGCACAACCACTTGAAAAGGAAAAAAAATACTTTAAAAACCTTTGTTGGCGCGGGCACTTACGAGATGTTCGGATTAGGCACTACAAATTCGCGACGGAACTAGCGTGTAAAGAAAGATCACTTTATTTTAACTTCACTCTAATTATCGTAAGATAGTTTGATCGCCGTGTACGTTTTGTAGGTTTATTTTCGACTGATACTATTCTGGTTCATGTATAGTAATATATGCGAATTCAGTGGCTTGATAAGAGAGCAAAAGGCCTATTCAAAATTCTCTTCTCTCGTTATCCGAAGGCTAATGATAAGGAAGGGTACATTCTTGGTATTGATCGCAAGTGATCGAGTGAGATAAATATAGGTCTTATATACTAAGGAAAATTAATTGCTAGGGTTTGCGTTAACATATGCCGGCCCCCGTTGAAAGGTTAAGCCTTTCAACCGACATGTAGGTGAAATGAGAAAGGATGATCTGGTCGTCGTCTGGTTTCATTGTCGTCGATTGCTCTCCACGTCGTTTGTTTTGATTCTCCTTCTGCTCGGCAAGGGTCGTTGACATTCGCATGGTCTGGTCCTTGATCAGCTGTTTCCTCCACCAGTACTCGATCGTTCGATTGGTCGTTGCTAGTGATGTCATCGTCATAGTAACTGACTTTAGATAGTCATCACTCGGTTGGGCGCACTCGTGGTTGGGGTTGGAGTCGCCGTCGATGGATCCAGGGTGCATGTAGGAGGACAAAAAATTCTTCAGCTTTTTGAAATTTCAATGAAAAACAATACTTACAGGGGTCGGAGGCCCGCAGGCCTCCGATCGTTGCGCAGTATCGATATACTGCGATGGTGGACATCAGTGGTCATCAAGATGCTGGTTTTTCCCATTGGCCGACTGGGTTGCGACTTGGCGCACGGGAAGGATGCATATCTTGGATATTGCGCCTCGAAATTCTCCATCGGCCGTCTTCACGTTGACTACTCTGATGTTGTTGTCGTCTCCTCGGAAAACGTGGGTGATTCTGCCGTATCTCCACTTGAGTGGAGGGAGATTGTCCTCTTTCAGGAGCACCATTGTGCCCACAGCAATGTTGTCCCTAGCTTGTGTTCACTTGGTGCGTGGATGAAGCCCTGACAGGTAGTCAGTCGTCCATCGTTTCCACACTCGTTGGACGAGCTCTTGGTTCTCCTGCCAACGATCGAGCCGATTTCGTGGTACTTCTGATAGATCAGGTTCAGGGAAAGATGTGAGCGGACCATGAATAAGAAAGTGACCCGGAGTTAGAACCTCTAGGTCGTTTAGGTCTGCAGTGAGTGGCGTGAGTGGCCTAGAATTCAGGCAGGCTTCTATACGAGAGCGTAACGAACTCGTCTTGTGATAGAATGGAGTTGCTAACTGTTGAACGGAAATGCTTCTTAAATGATTACACCGCCGCTTCCCACAACCATCCAAAGTTGGGACTGCAGGGTGGTATGAATTTGAATTGGATCCCGTCGTCTGCGCAACGATTTACCACTGCTGCTTTATGTTTTTGCGAGTAGAATTGTTTGCGCAGCTCTGCTAACTCTCGGACGGCTCCCTTGAAGTTTTGGGCGTTGTCACAGTGGATTACGTGTGGTTTTCCTCTCCGAGACATAAAACGGTGTAGTGCCGCGATGAAGGCGGCTGTTGACAGATCGTAAACCAGCTCAATGTGGATGGCTTTTGTGACAAGGCAGATGAAAATTGCTACATAGCATTTTGTTGGTTGATCTTTGCGAAGTTTGCGAAACTGGAACGGTCCACACAGGTCAACACCAGTGTTCAAAAACGGCAATGTCGGCGTAACTCTTTCAGCAGGCAAATCTCCCATAAGCTGCTCCAGTGCCGATGGTTTACATCGGAAGCAATTGATGCAGGAGTGGACCACATTACGTGCCAAGTTACGGATGCGGAGTGGCCAGAACTTTTCCCGGACGCATGCTACAAGCAGGTGTGGTCCGGCGTGCAAATGTTTCTGATGGTAGTGGGACATAATGCTTGCTGTTAACAGATGCCGTGCAGGAAGGATCATTGGATGCTTCCTATCCTCTGGTATATCCGCGTTCCGCAGTCGACCGCCGACCCGTAATATACCATCCCTCAAGACTGGACAGAGATTCTTCAACAACGAGTTCGATTTGACTTGACCCTCAGTGGCTATGGCATCGATGTCGTTCGAGAAAACTTCGGACTGTGCTAGCTGTACCAACGTTGTTGTAGCTTGGTTTAGTTCGGACGTCCGCAGAAATCCAATTTTTCGATTAGATCGAATGTCCGGTTTGGAGTTGTGAATGAATCGACGAAGCATCGCAGTGAGTCGAACTAAAGAAATGAATGAAGAGCGTAGACCGAATATTTCATTCGGTTCGTGATCTCTGACCGGTAACGATACCGATCGTTCTTCGAGGGATTCCACTGTCAGTTCAGGCAGGTCACTTTGGAGGACTGGAGGCCAGAAACGTGATGGTTGTTTCAGCCAGGATGGTCCCGTCCACCAGGCTGACGACTCCTCTAACTGACTTGCTTCCATTACACGAGAGATTATGTCCGCTGGATTATCCATACCCGAAACGTGAGCCCAGACACCGTTGGTTGTTAGATGTTGCACTTCCGATACTCGATTCGCAACAAAAGTTTTCCACCTTGACGGAACCGAGTTGATCCAGTGGAGTGTGATCGTTGAGTCCGACCAGAAGAACGGTTGAGTGTTCAGTGCTATGCTAGTGTTCACCTTGTGGTACAAGTGGCTCAAGAGAAGAGCCGCAGACAACTCCAACCTGGGAAGACTGACCTTTTTCTGCTTCTTCGAATCTCCGAGAGGTGCCATCTTGGATTTCGCAGTCAGCAGACGAACGGAGATGCTCCCATCATTAGAAACGGTACGAATATATAGACAGGCACCGTAAGCATGTTCTGACGCATCGCAAAACCCATGGAGTTCTATGTTGACTGGTGCAGTAGCGAGTGCTGCCCACCGAGGTACGGAGATTGAAGAAAGTGCATTTAGACTGCAACGAAAGGAAAGCCAGTGCTGCTGTTGATTTTCATCGAGATGAACATCCCAAGATGCAGACGTTCGCCAGAGAGATTGAACAAAGATTTTTGCTAGAACTATCACTGGTCCAATCAGCCCAAGCGGATCGAAAAGTTTTGCTGTATCTGATAGTACAGAGCGCCTGGTGATTGTATCCGATTGAGACCACTTGGGAACGGAATAGTGAAGCAGATCTGTTGATGGTTCCCATATCAGTCCAAGGGTTTTGATAGTAGATGGTGAATCCAACGCTAGGACTGCTCGTTCTTTACGTAGTTCGGGTGGTATGATCGAAAGGATGGCCGTCGAGTTGGACGCCCATTTGCGTAAGTTAAGCCTGGCAGATTGCAGCAGATTTCGTAACTGTGTGCACAGTTCTTTTCCTTCTTCTTCATCGTCGACCCCAGTCAGCATATCGTCCATATAAAAATCCTTCGAGAGGACTAGCGCTGCATGAGGATACAGATCAGCTCCTTGCTTAGACAGCTCCAGAAGACACCAAGTAGCCAAATATGGCGCCGAGGCAGTGCCATAGGTGACGGTGGTAAGCTCGAAGGTTTTCAGCGGTTCCGAGGAAAAGAAACGCCAGCGGATGCGATGCAGTGGACAGTTAACAGGGTGAAGACGAAGTTGCCGGTACATTTTTTCGCAATCGGCAACGATGGCAAACTGGTGCATCCGGAAGCGAAGCGATATCTCGTGTATGTCATCCTGTAACATAGGACCTACCATCAGCGCCTGATTGAGCGATACTCCGCTGTCCGTCCGACAAGAGGCATCGAACACTACCCTTAATTTAGTGGTTGTGCTCTCAGCTTTCTCGACGCCATGATGAGGCAGGTAGTAAGACTGGAAGAATGTTGAACGTGTCGTCAATTTCTCGCATATGGTTGAGCTGCAAATATTCAGCAATAAATGCAGCGTACGCCTCCTTCAGTTTTGGGTTCGCTTCAAGACGACGTTCAAGAGCAAGGAATCTGCGAGTGGCTATTTCCTTCGAATTTCCGAGTTGAGACAGTACATCGACTCGTTTCGGAAGAGTGACTACGAATCTACCCAATTCGTCTCGAAAAGTGTTGGCAACGAAGTGTTCTTCACAGAAAGTTTCTTCTGGAGAACGAGTGCTAGGAGACCAGCAGTGCTCTATTTCCCAAAAGCGAGCGATTTGGTCATCGAGTGGCTCTGTGCTGCCCACGTGAGTCACTTTGAGTTGGTTACGGGAATGATGAAGCCCTACCTTACCGGATGCTACCCAGCCAAAAACGGTATTTTGCAGAACCGGCTTTTCAGGACCCAGCTTGATGAATCCTTCTAGGAGTAGTTCGAAATATAGCTCCATGCCCAGCAGAAGATCTATGGGTCCCGGTTCATGGAAGTTGGGATCTGCTAGTGTGATTCCGGATGGAACGTTCCAGCAGGAAGAATCGACCGCGTTGGCAGGCAGCTCACGGGTGATCTTCTTCAGTATGTGACAAGGTTCTTCGACAGTATATTCGGTGCAATGGGACCCTATCCCAACATCAACAGCGTGATACGATACCACGAGAGTGTTACCAATGCCTCCAATTTCTTGACGATTAGGGTAGCGACGTAGCTTCAGCTTTTGAACCATATTCTCGGTGATTATGCAAAGTTGCGATGCAGGATCCAACAACGCTCTGGCCCATTGGGCGTCTCCATCGGAACCGAAAACCTTGACGATTGCGGTTTGCAGCAGAACAGTAGCAGGAACGGTTCGACGGCTACCAACGAGAGTGTTGGAAACGAGACTAGTTGTTTGGGCAGAGGTTGATGGTGACTGGGTTTCAATCGATGAATTCAACCGAGATTGCGAGTAAGACTGATTTGAGGAATTCGTTTGGTTCGAGAATGAGGAATTCGAACCAGAAACGAAAGGTGTATTGTGTTTTTGTTGTAAGGACAAACGATCGCTAGGAGGTTGGTGTAGCATAGTATGGTGCTTCTGGTTGCAAACTCTGCAACCGCTGGACGAACATCCTTTCAAAAAATGAGAGGAGGACAAACAATTTATGCAAAGGTTCTTTTTCTTCACTTTGTCAAAGCGTTGGGAAACGGCCAGCTTCTGGAACACGTCGCACTTGAATGGTGAGTGTGGAGACTTCGAACAGAACGGACAGGAACCAGGCTTCGAATTAGTAATGGTGTGGACTGTATTGACCTTCGATGATTTCAACGGACGGTATGAATCCGCTTTCTGCGAATCAGATGAGCGAAACTTCGAAGGCGCCAATGACTGGAGAACCATTAAATGCGTACGCAGGAAATCGATGAGCTCCCGATACTGTGGGACCTCAGTGGATTTATGATGAGCTTCCCATTGCCTTAAGGTGAACGAATCAAGACGACTACAGACCATGTGGGATAGAAGCACACTCCAACCATCCGTTTGGATGCCCATTTTGTTTATTAGGCACAAATTGCGCTCAAAATCGTCGATCAAACACATAAGGGACTCGTAACATTCCCTTTTCATCGGTTCAATTGTGAAAAGTGAATCTATGTAAGTTTTAACAACTAACTTTTTGTTATCGAACCGCTTCTCCAACAACTGCCACGCAACGGCGTAGTTTGCGTCGGTCAGCTCAATCGATTCAATAACCTTTTTGGCATCCTTGGTTAATGATGCAACCAGGTAAGAAAACTTATCTATCTGCGATAATTGAGTGTTTGAATCAATTAGGGATTTGTATGTATCCCTGAATGTGATCCATTCCGAAATTGATCCATCAAAAGTTGGAAGCTTCACTTCAGGGAGTTTGGTTCGGGACTGGGGTAGATTTGGCGCATTAACGACAGCCAGAGCTTGAGCATTTGGCTGTGGAGCTGCATTCAACTCACGAATTTTGCTAGTTAAGAAACTAGATGTGAGGATATAGTCGAGTTCGAATTTTTGGCGAATGAGACGATTGTTATTCTCCGTTTCCTTATCAGAAATGGTTTCGTCCGCGTTTGTCGCCTTTGTTTCATCGAACAGTAGTTCGAGTTTAAGACGATTCAACTGGAACTCCCTGTAAACCGTCTTCATTCGTTGCTTCCATCCCTCCAGTTGGTTCTTATCTCTATCCGCATCAAAACGATCCATAAACTGCTTCAAGTTGGCCATCGTATCCAAATGAAAGCGTTCTTGGCGGCTTAACTGCCTCAAATTTGAAGCCATTCTTCAACCAGCGAACAATATTTCGTACAACAATACGACACAAGTGACCAACCTGAACCACCAGAGCACACTATGCAACCTCAACTAGCAGGGATGAAAGCAAACGAATCCAAAAAATCGAAAATTGCTTTAGTGGAATTGCACAAAAGGCTGTATGCAATAAGTCAAACAATGTAAAATCCCTTTATTTCGTTTCAAATGAGCCCGTTATCACTCGACGCTTCAACTCGCATGCGGTACTTACGGTTGCTCCGCTTTATCCAGGACGACGTCAGTTCAACGTCCCCTCTTTGTTCTATTATCCAGTGGTGCACAAAGGACCCAAGTCAAGCCACGATAGCGTCCCCACGCGATGTCCGTCTGCTTGCCTGGAGCCTTCTCCCTCGTAGACCGCCAAACTCCCAATGTTCACAAAATTCTTCCGAGATCACGTTTAATTACGTGATCTTCCGCGCACTTATTGTTCCTTTAACTTCGACCCGCGTTGATCCACAGGCTCTATAAAGTAGCACTGTGATCGAAAACTCACGCGGGAACGGTATTGCTTCAATAATTGCACTATGGTTCGTACTTTGTAGTACCGAACAGTAACCCGCGATGGCAATTAATCACCGCGATTTATCACATTTCTCACGGTTGATCCGGCTCGAAGGACCAAAAATGTTGGCGCGGGCACTTACGAGATGTTCGGATTAGGCACTAAAAATTCGCGACGGAACTAGCGTGTAAAGAAAGATCACTTTATTTTAACTTCACTTCTATTTATCACTCTCCTCTAATTATCGTAAGATAGTTTGATCGCCGTGTACGTTTTGTAGGTTTATTTTCGACTGATACAATTCTGGTTCATGTATAGTAATATATGCGAATTCAGTGGCTTGATAAGAGAGCAAAAAGCCTATTCAAAATTCTCTTCTTTCGTTATCCGAAGGCTAATGATAAGGAAGGGTACATTCTTGGTATTGATCGCAAGTGATCGAGTGAGATAAATATAGGTCTTATATACTAAGGAAAATTAATTGCTAGGGTTTGCGTTAACAACCTTCACCAATTAATCTACTTAACTACAAGTTGTTAATATTTTGTTGCCCAGTGTATGAACGACCAAACAAAACAAAAAAAAACCACTATAGCCCTCACAACCCTATCAGGGGAGAGGGCAAAGCCACGCGCAAAATTTAATAACAAAAGTGGCAATGGGCTAGAGAAGACTATTGTATAGAATACTTAACACCGGCCGGTGCCGGCTGTGTGAGCTGGTGCAGCGACTCCGTTTGCTCCTTTGTTTTTGTTGCTTGCTGCTTTGGAGTGGTGATGAGATGATGACGGTGAGATGATAGTCCACCTATAGCGTCGCTAAAGGTGGCTACTTCCTCTGCTGACTGCGGTTGCCTTGGGCACTGAACTTCGTCCACGGTAGGAAAAACGCGCGATATAAAAAACCACTATGGTGGGAAAAAAAACTCCACCGGCTACGAAACCAATACCCGCAACGGAGACACGAAAAAACTACGTCCGGCTACTTCAAGCTATCGGCGAGGAATGAAATGTGTTCCCCTGCCGATTAAGGAGATGGGAACCTCCTTTTCAACATCCATATATACATCCCGTACAA